CCCTGAGTAAACTATGTGCGCGTAAAAATGTATATACGTTGCATTTAGCCGGCCAACCCCTCCCCTGAATAAACTCTAAGTGCGTAAAAATGTATACACGTTGCATGTAGCCGGCCATCCCCCCTCCCCATGAATAAACGACATAAAAAGATCATATTAACCTACCAAAGAATTTACTCACATCTATATATATAAGACTGTAATCTTTGTTTGTTTGTTTGTATGTCCGATCATAACTCATGAACCCCTTGACCGATTTGCCTCAAATTTTGATTGGGGAACACGGAAGATATTCTTAGTTTGGTTTTTAGATTCTAAGTTTTGTGGGTCCACATAGTTATTTAGGTAAATATACGACCAAGCGCGGGTAAACGACGGGAGTAACTATCTGTAGGGTTCTAAGGCTAGTTTGTGATAAAAACCTAAAGATGCGCCAAGTGTGTAATAATTTTAAACGTCGTAGCATAATTAATTATAAACATTTCATACAGGGTTACCCACAAAGGATGAAACTTAAATGACGACCTAAACATCTATTATTCTAAAGATTTGAAGGTTTTATTTAGTCTTTGTTATAAAAAAAAATCTTTTATTTGTGTACTAGATGATTTGACCAATAAATGGAAAAGTTTTCATCTCCAGGGAAATATAAATGTAAAAAAGGCAGATGCAATTTTCGTACAGCTTTGTCTCTGGTCCAAAACTTAAGACAGATCGTCATGAAACCCAGTATTGGACACCCGGTTTCATGATTGGGCTAAGGCAGTTTTGTAGATACGTTCTAATTTTGTTTTCAGATTTCTTATATTAAAATCTACGCAAATCCACCCAAAATAGAAAACTCAGGAGTTTCGTTCAAAGGCTCTGAATTACCTTTGTGGTAAACCCTGTCCAATAATATTTTTAAAACTCACCTTTTTGTTTGTATAATTGTTGTTGTAATCAGAGGTATTTGTGGCAGAACACTAACTGGTTCGGGAGTCTAAAATATCAGCATGTAAAAAGACTATACACGTAATCTTAAGCAACCGTAGAATGATAGATTTGCATTTTTGATTTACAGCATGTATCCTGCATTCCTTTTTCTTTGCAAAAATGGAACAGATGCAATTCTTTTTTTTTTATCTTAAAACATTTTAAATTCTTTTTTTTCTCTTTCTCTGGCTCAATTTAAAGATTTAAAACCCAATTTTCAAATATAAAATCAAGAATACGTCCTCGTCGTTTTTGCTCAATCGAAGATCTAAAAGTTAAATCTTTAAATTTAGATCTTAAAATCACATTGACTATTCCTTTAATATTATTTTTATATTCCATAGTTTCTTGGCTTAAACAGACTTTATGGGTCAGAATTCATCTTATTGTAAATAGTAGTAACCAGAAAACAGTGGCACAATCGCCATCTGTAGAATCACTAAAAGGGCTTTAACATTTTTTACATTTTCAAAAATACATCAGTAAAAAGTGTCAGAAATCACAAAGTTCGTTTTACAACTTTTGTTCCACCGGGAGTGCGGCATTTTGGTACTCCCCCCCCCCCTCGTCTAAATCACCTTGTTTGGTGGCCACATGTGACTTTCTTGATGCATGCTAAGAAAACCTTCTAATCACTATGGGCTATATATATTAAAATCTATAAACTAAATTTACAAACTTGCAAATATCAATAAACTTGTAAAGTTCAAATAAATGCGAATAATATCATCATTTATCTAATTGAAAATCTAGTTGATCATGTTATTTGAAATATGCAAAAGAAATAACAACTCTGAACAGAATTAAACAATAAGCATTATTATCATTATTATTATTATTATTATTATTATTATTATTATTATTATTATTATTTTGGATTTGTTTTATTTCTTTATCATAAAGGAAATGTGCAAAAGAGGACTCTCTAAAAATGTTTAAAGTTCAAATATTGAATCAAGATCCTAAAATTTATAGATTTTTACTTATTTATCGTTTTTATACTGTTAAATCCCTAATATGTTATTATTGTTAAGACTTTACACGAATTAAGGATTTTTTGTAGTGTCAATTTGGTCACAAAGAATATATTATTATTATTAGAAGTAACCACTACTTCTAGTAGTATTATCAAGTTACCTTAATGTTGCTTGGGAATAAATTTTCTTTCAGAAAATTGAAAGGGAAGTCATGTTTGCTGCTTTCAATCTAAATAAAAAAATTTGAAATGTAATTGTAAAGATTTAAAATCATTGTTTAATGTTAATGTATCTTGATCAAAAATTTGACGCAATGTTTGGAAATTTGTTATGATTACGTTTCCGTTTTTCATGCAGCGATGCGGTGCTTATTATCACAGCAAATTGGGATACTATGATATACATAAAACTGTGGAATAGAAAGATGACATTTTTACACATTTTTGAGGTTGTAAAGCAAATGGTTTTAACAGTTATACATAACATTAAGAACCAACTTATTAAGTAATCTTTTATAACTGCATACTTATTGTATTTCATGCTCTTTTGACTTTATATGAAGTCTTAAAGGGATGTAATCGTAATTTTTAGTGACCCTTCATTCAAAGATGGCAATGCCAGATTTACTACTCTGCCCTTGAAAGCTTTGTCTGATCAAGCATTAAGTAGATATACATTGTTTCTTTAATCTGGTTATTTTCATCAGCGGTTTCTCTGTGAATAAGGAGTAAGGGAGAAAACTACAAAAATACGTACTTGACAAGTCAGAAAAAAGCCGTATTTTACACATTTTTGGTCAGATTCAGGTGTCAAGGGTATCGTTGTAAATCGGACATCGACATCTTTGCATGGAGGATTATTAAAAATTAAGCTTTAAGAACCTTTTAGTCAAACCTTCGCCTTCTTTTTCCATAGATTCATGGGTCTCACTTTCTAATAGATGAACAGTCCCTTTAAGAAATAATTGTGTAACCTGTAATTTTTGTACAGCATCTAGATCAGTCCTATCCTCCTTACTTTGTTGTTCGACAAGACTGAGCAAACCATTCAAACCATTCAAACCTTTACCTAGAGAACAAGTTTCTAAGGACCAGGGCACTGTGGACTAGGGGCAATTTGATTCAACCTGGACCGACCCCAGGGAGTAAGGAATATAAGGGAGATACAACTGACGTGGTTCGCCTTCTATATATAAATTTAGCTTGTCTGTTTGGGTGTTTGTTTGTTTGTTTGTATCCAATAAACGTCAAAACGGCTAAACCGATCGGGCCTAAATTATTTGTGGGACATCACGTGACCACAAGAAAGGTTTGCGAATAATAAAAATTTTAAAATAATGTGTATTAAAGGATTTTAAATTTGTAAAAAAAATTTAAATTCTTGGAATGCTTTGCAGACGGTACTCCATTTGTATAAGAAATATTCAGAATAGGTTATTGTATACGCAGCAATAATTAAATTATAAGAATAAGAATAAGAAATATTTGTCTGATGTACAATTACCGAGTATACAATAACCTATTCTGAATATTTCTTATACTAATGGAGTACCGTCTGCAAAGCATGTATAATCATATTGTAGGGCGAACCGCGTCAGTTATATCTCCCTTATATTCCTTACTCCCTGACCGCCCCTGTGCTCCAGCCTTTGTTAGTGACGCACAGCACGTGCCGGCCTGACCCTATCATGTCTCTGCCCAGTTTCACCTTTGATGGCGCAGCCAGACTTTCTACAGTACCCGGCCTATTATAGACCTATTTGACTTAACCCACTAGCTTAGTTTAGCGTGAGGGACCAGATTTAATTAAATTGAGTTAGGTCGTTAAACTACTTACTGTAATGTTTATGTTTATCTATGGGGCATATTTCTGGACCTAGCTCAAATTTATTAAATATGGTCCAAGGACTTCGACGACATTTAAGAAATTAAATCTTAATTGTGAAAACAAATTTAAATGAACAAAGTTGTGAGTCGGTGAATGTCCTATAGCCCAAAAATCTATAAATATACTTACTTTAACAAATGTGACGTTAGAGAATGGAAACTCTTTTATACTCATATCTTGACTTCTTGAGTTTTAAAACTTTCAGTAACACGTTCTTTAAGGACCAAACCATTGTTTTTTTTTAATTCTTGGGAAAATATTTAATATTGACTATTTTGTTTAATGCCAAGTGACATTCTTATGCTCATATTTTTAGGATAACATTGTTTTAAATTTTACTGTTAAATTTTACCTGACTGCTTACTGAACAATCTTTGATTAAATCTTCTTTCTTCCTCCTCTTCCTTTCTAAAATTTAAAAAAGATTTAGTTATTTAACTTTTATTTTAACTAATTTTAAAAATTTAATTATGATGCTTACCTTTGTAACATTTCTTTTAGAAGTTCATTTTCAGTTCTGCCGATTCAATCAATCAATTAGATAATTAATTAATCAACGTAATCCATCTATCAGTTAATTCAAGAATCTATTAATCGATGAAATCGAGCAATAAAAATGAATCAATCAATCATTTGAGTAATCAAACAATTTTAGAACCAATCAATCAATTTTATCAATCAATTTTTTAAACAAAGTATAGTATTGCAGCTAGAAAATTTATAACTTAAATAAAATAAAAATAAAAACACGGTTTATGCTTGCCATTGTTTTAAATGTTCATGAGCTAAAAATAAAAAGTCTTTAAAACCATTGAGATTTGGCGCATCCATTAATGTAATAAAGAATTAATAAATAATTTACCAATTGATCAAAGGTAATTATCTTAATCAATCATGGTTTATTAACAATCAATTGAATAATCAATCTACCAATCATTTGTATAATCAATCTACCAATCAGTTGTATAATCAATCTACCAATCAATTGAATAATCAATCTACCAATCAATTGTATAATCAATCTACCAACCAATTGAATAATCAATCTACCAATGAATTGTATAATCAATCTACCAATCATTTGAATCATCAATCTACAAATCAATTGAATAATTAATCTATCAATCAATTGTATAATCAATATACCAATCAATTGAATAATCATTCTACAAATTAATTGAATCATCAATCTAACAATCAATTGTATAATCAATCTACCAATCAATTGTGTAATCAATCTACAAATTAATTGAATCATCAATCTACCATCAATTGTATAACCAATCTACCAATCAATTGAATCATCAATCTACCAATCAATTAATAATCAATCTACTAATCAATTGAATCATCAATCTACCAATCAAATGAATCATCAATCTACCAATCAATGAATTAGTTCATGAATCAATCAATTTAATCATCAATAAAAAAAAAATTATTAAAAGTGATAAAATTTCATCAATTAGTTTATTGATTGATCTTCCCTGAGTGCCTGACATTCATCATAAGCATTTTCTTTAGGACTGCTAAAAAAATATATTTGTATCTTTAATTTTATAATTTTACCTATACAGATATAAAGTATTGTCACCATGTTTGTTTGAATGTCCAATTATAACTAAGAAACCCCCTGACCGATTTCCCTCAAATTTTGTTTGTGAAACTCCGAAAATCATGGGAATGTTCTTAGCCTGGTCTTAAAGTTTTAATGTGAATTATTAGAAACCCCTACATCACTAAAGTCCTTACTTGAAATAATTTTGATTTCTGTTTGATTGCCGATTGAAGCTTCTACTTCCAGGGCTCTTCTCTCTAAAGAATAATAAAGTTTGTATAACAAAGAAACAGAATTGAAAGATAAATGTATTTATTTGACAAACTATTTTAATCAAATAAATTACTGGTAGGTACTAGGTACACCTTGTACAGTTTAATTTAGTCAGGACCTCTCTAACTAAAATTTAACAAACCTTTGATTTTTAAACTTAGACTTTTTGATCTAATTTTAAGTTTAAAATATGAAAGGGCAACAACTCAGTTTCTTTGTAAAGTAAACGTCATTTCAAATAAACCTCTCTTACAAATTGAAAAGTCTGATTCACAACAGTACCGTTAATCCTTTGGTATCCTTTTCGTTTTCTATTTAAAAATAGAGAGAAGTAGTTCAACTAGTTCTCCTATGCTGGTTCAAGTTAATCTTGTTGACACAGAATTTTGTTGACTATCTGAACATAGTTTTGATACAGTGAGAACCAGAAAATTGTGGAATAGGAAGATGTATTTGAAGCAACTATTTCTAGCAATACCTCGACATTTAACTAACTGCTGTGATTCATGTCCAATGGTCTATTTAAAGCCATAAATTGAGTCGTAAAATTGTCTTCTTTTCCAGAATTGTCTGGTCTTCTCTGTAATTCTTGATATTTATTAATTCCGACTATGCTTAGCTAAGCTAACTTTTATAAACTGCTGAAATGACTAAACTTGACTCAAGATTTAAAAAATTTGAATATTTTAAAAATTTTACCTTGTTTTAAAATTGTTTGATGAAAACGATTGAGAGTGTCTACTACTGCTACTACTACTACCGCTGCTGCTGCTGCTTGGAGCATTTCTAGAAATATCTTCATTACTGTAATTAAACAATTAAGTTCAAGCGAAAAAAAATCATTTAGAAATAAAAATAATCTAGTAAATTAAATAATAATTAAAACCTATGTTTAACTAGGGGGGGGGGGAACGTGCAACTTCCCCCCTCTCCCTTAGAAAAAGACGTTAGAGTAAAAAAATCAATTTGAAATACATGTTAATAGCCCAATTTTTCTCATTGAAATAAATTATACCGCAATCTTCAATAGTTCGGATCCTAGGGAGCTTTTAGAAAATTGGCAAAAAAGTTCTAAAAAATGTAAAAAAGAGAAACAATTCTTCAAATAACAGATTATAACACACGTTTTTTTCATTTTTCAATGGCCTTTTAGGTTACGGGAACAACTCATTTTATGTAATAATTCTGGATTTTTTTGAGCGAAAGTTAGATGGCTAGATTATAGCTTGCTAGTTAGATAGCTAGATTATAGCTAGCTAGATAGATAGATAGATAGATAGATAGATAGATAGATATTTCATTGTATTTTATTTAAAACGTATCCTCACTGTTGATTGTGTGGGAAGAATATTGGTATTTATATCGACAGCCTGGGTAGTTTAATGTTGCTTTCATATTTCAACTTCATTTTACAGAATCAGTTTAAACATAATCCAAGTATAAATAAAATAAATGTTTGAAAGACAAATGTTTATGATATCAGTGCATATCAAGACAAAACAAAGCAGTCTATAGGGAGTATATAGAAAGATAAAAACCTGTTTTTAGTTTCGCAAATAGTTTTTAACAGACACAATCTCAAATCCAATGATAAAAATCAGATTTTTTTAAAAGTTTTCTGATTAAAGTTAATCTGATCTAAGTTTTACAGCCACAAGCAAATCTTAATACAAATAATTATAAGAAGTATGCATAGTTTATAAATATCAAAGGCATACACCATCAGGTTGCTAAGTTATAGAATAAAGAAAATTTGAGTTTGTGACAAAGAATCAATTTCTTTGCAGTTAAATGAAAACAGAAAATTTGGCAAAAATCTAAATTGAAAAAGCATCCTCAATTTTTTTAATGTTGTAAACAGTTGATTACACATCCATTGGTGTTAATTAAGTTATTTATTTGGCTACTCTCTAGAAATTGATAATGGGAGACTAAACACGAAACATATCTAAGGGTGCGATTATCAACAGGCCTTTTTAAAAAACCTTTTTAACTCACTCCTGTATGCCGCGTCCATTAGCGCCCGATCCCATCAGGGTTCAGTCATGTGTTTGTTGTTTATTCTGAACCAATAGAAATAGTATGGCGGTAGCATCTTTCTTTCTATCTATCTCATTATCCAAATAGAGTTATGAGTCCTTCAATCGGCGGTAAATGGAATATTTACTTCTACTGAAACTATGTTGAACGGAAACAAATTCCGAAATTAATTTAAGGAAATGTAAATAATTTTCATTGATAAAGTGGCAACGGAGCCCGAACAAGCTTTGCTTAATCAAGTATAAATTAAAATTCCATGTTTTTTTATTTTGAAAATTGTTCATTTTCGTTTGTGGTTTCTTTTCAAAAGTGACTTGTGCATTTCTCGCTTAGGAAAAAAACATTAAATTGATCAAAATCTAACAATTTTCATTCCAGAAAAATTAGGTTTCAAGGGTACCGTTGTGATTCAATGAAAACTGCCATCACAGTCCCTTTAAGTTGTATCAGGGTATACACATTACTATATAATGGAATTAATGCTGAGATAAATAAACATTAAAAATGCCTTGAGATACTTCTTCCAAAGGAATTGAGTCTTTGCCACAAACTCTGATTTTAAATCCTTATGTCTTAAACACCCAATGTTGTAGACTTTATATATTTCAAACTATGACTTCTGTTATACATTATAGTTTTAGTAGAACTAAATATTTCCAACTGATAGCGCCGATTGAAAGATTCATCTCTATAGGATAATGAGATAGATAGAAAGATAGATATTACCGCCATACTATTTATATTGGTTCAGAATAAACAACAAACACTTGACTGAACCCTGAATGGGTGAGGCGCTAATGGACTCGGCATACAGGAGTGTATATCAAACAATCAAAGCTTGAAATATCAAAGGTCTACATTATTTGGTTGTAGATATATAGGTATTAGAAAACTGGGATATGTTGCAAAGACTCAATTCCTTTCTTGCAAATTGATAGTTTTCCATATTTGACTTTTCAATTAAAATTTAAAAATTTTATAAGTTTAAAGATGTGATTTTAATCCTCTCAATTCCATTAAAACTGCAAAACTCAATAATTTCCAAGAATAAGAACAATATTTTTTGTAGCTAACTATTTTCTGATTGTCTTAAACAACTCCACATTTTCCTGTTATTGTAGCTAAGAACTTCTTTAAAGGTACCAAACTGTCATTAAGTTTTAAGATTTTAATGATAATTAAATCAATCTTGAATTGAGATGGGGCTGATACATTTGAATTTAAATCTATATTATGACATTTTCTATATTAAGCATGAAAATTTAAAGCGCACCTTTATCAAGTTCCGTATTTATAATCAATGCAAAAATTTTGGTTTGTTGTTGCAATTTCCTGATTCAGGTTTGCAAAAAAAGATTAGACCAGCCCATATTTGGATGACTTGTATACAATGGGAGATGTTTACTTGTTTACTATGAATGTCTTCTTTACAAAACAGAAAAACTTGCAAAAACAATTTTTGAAAAAAGAGAGATTAAATTTTCAGTAAAAAATTAAATACTTTGAAACGGGAAACCAATCAAATTCATCTATTGTGTATGAAAATTATAATGTGGGCCTCACGCTACGCTAAAGTAAATTGCACGAAAAAATGTTTTAATCATAACTCCTATAATTAAAGAATGAAAATGAAAGGTTAAAAAAATGTTTTGAATTTTTTATATGAAACCAGATAAATTGTTATTCTATTGTTATTGTTATTTTACGTTAAATCAAAAATAAAAGGCTGCTAGGTCACAACGTAGCACCAGTATATTGTCGCATATTGCAGTGGCCTAAGAGCAGGATTTAAAAAAAAATAATTACGATTGATTGTAAAATTTCACAAATGAAATCAGACTAATCCACGAAACTTAAAAGTGTGTCATTGTTTTAACAGCTAAAATTGCAAAGAAAAATATTAAAGCTAAAGGAATTGAGTTTTTGCCACAAACTCAGATTTTCTAATTCCTATAACTTAGCAACCCGTTTTCCTAGACCTTTGATATTTCAAACTATTACTTCTGGTAGATCAAATAGTCTAAGTTTGAAATATCAAAGGTTTACAGCATTAGGTTGCAAAGATATAGGGGTTAGAAAATGTAAGTTTGTTGCAAAAACTCAATTCCTTTGGTACTTAAAGGAGGGTCCAAAAACGCCTGGAAGACTGGTAACGTTTAATCCTAAAACCGGTTCTAAATTTCTAACAAAATTATTATTTTTACAAAGATTATTATTTGATTGAGGCTTAAAGATCGGAGAAAAAATGCACCAAAAAATCAATATTTTTAATTTCGAATTGTTTTACATAACTATTGGAAAATTTGTGTAACACTTATACTTTCAGACATTTAAATACTTTTCTAATTATTTCAAAAGTAATTTTTAGGGTCGTCCTGGGGGGGGGGGTTAGTGATCATACCTGGAGTTATATTCTCTTCTTGCTTCTCGTAATTGCTCCAGTCTATCTTCATACCTTGCTCTGAAACAAAACTCATAAAATGTGTTTTCAAATTTAAATATTGTAGAGGATGAAATCCCCCTACACTCGTCATTTATCATGTTATTATATCTAGAAGCAATAAATGTACTTCTAAAATATCATAATATGGAATTGAGTCTCTGTCACAAACTTTGGTTCTTTAATTCATAGATCTTTATAACCGAATGTCGTAGAGCTTAGATATTTCAAACTATTAATTCAGTTATGTCAAGTAATCAAAGTTTGAAATATCAAAGGTTTATACTCTCAGAAAGCGAAAAAGAAAGGATTAGAAAATTGGAGTTTGTGGCAAAAACTTAAGTTCATATTGGCAAAACAGCTTAGTTTCCATATTTAGTTTATTCTTAATAAATGGAACCTGTTTGTCTTTTAAAAATCACAGGAAACAGTAAAAAGTTAGAAAAAATTGTGCTCTAACATTTGTCTATTTAAGTGTGACTAAATTAAGGGCCCGGCGTTGCCCATTGATTTTTAAAATCGAATTTTAAAACATACTTTTTTATTTTTTAAGTCTATCACCATGAGTTTATTTTAAAATTTTAGCCCATTTGGTCTTGCCGTTTGGCCGGTTATATGAATGACTTGTTTTCCTATATAGATCTAATTATTTCCTTAAATTTTTTAGTTAAAATGTCAATTTCACTCATACACAACAAACAAACAATCAATCAACATTAAAGATAGAACAATAGATGTCGTCTTTTCAAGATTTAGGGATTTTTCGTTCACAATCACCCTGAGGGGTTGAATTACATGACAGAGAGAGAGCATGCGCGTAACTCCTTTGGGCTTCTGCCTCAGGGTTGTGAACTAAAAACCCCTAAATCTTGAAAAGACGACATCTAGTGTTTTAACAGTATTTTTATTAATCTATGCAATCAACAAAAAAAGTCCCAGCTGTCAATATACTAAACAACCCTACCAATTTATAATAATAAAATAATATATGACCAAACCTTGCTTTATCTAGAAGGGAACTCCGGGGTTTAACTTCATTAAATTCCGTTGAAACCTGCAAGAAAATTTGAAAAAATTATGTAATATAGTAGAGGATGAAATCCCCGAAAGAGGATTATAAAATTTGCAAATCAGTTGCATGGGAAGACCTACACATCTTCCTCTTCTGTTATTCTGTATTCACTCGTTATTCATTATGTATTTATATCTAGCAGCAATGCATGTACTTCCAAATAATTCAATTTTTTCCAATAAATGAATACTTTTTAATCCCTATCTTTTATACCTCATGGCGTAAACCTTTTATATTCAAAACTTAGATGATGTGATTTAGCTAAATTCATAGATTAAAATATCAAAGGTTTACAACAATATTAGGATTATTAAAGGTGCGTTTTTAAACACAGGTTTACTTTAAAGTTGGTGTGAAAGAGTCTGAGATATTTAACAAATAGTTAAATTCAAATTGTGTCTAACCAAAACAATTTATCTACACAATTTTCCTAAACCTTTTTGAAAAATAGTTTTAGTTGAAAGAAATAGAGTTTTTGCCACAAATCCCAATTTTTAATACCTAAATCTCAACAACCAGATGATGCATACCTTTCATATTTCAAACATTGCAGTTTGATCCACCAGAATTCATAGTTTGAAGTATCTACGGTCTACGACGGTTTTAAAGAAATTGGATTTAAAAATCCGAGTTTGTGGCAAAAACTCAATTCTATTTTTGTCAAAGTGAAACATTGCATGGTGTAATAAAAACCTAATTTATCAAGAATGCACTTTTTTATCGGGTAAATAACTCTGTTTCATGTGGGCCTCTTAAAAGTTTAAAAACTTGGAATGTTTAAAAAAAAACCTCAAAAACTCTCCATACACATCTAGAAATTAAGAAAAGTAAATAAATCTAGAATTTTAAATGTCTTGCTTAGATAATTTATAATTTATGAATTGAATCGTTGATCGAGTTACCTCATAAATTTCTGGCTCTTCTGTAGTAGTTAAACTCTGAAGCTGAAAACAAAAGAAATCAATAAAAAAAAATTAAAAATTCTTTTTTTTAATTTAAAATGGAGATTAAGGATGTGAAATTTTTCTGAAACTATTTTGCAGAAGCAAAAAAGTATTCCACAAGATATACATATAAGACATGTTTATTAGAAACATTTTTCTCAAATATCAAAAAAGTATTCCACAAGATATACATATAAGACATGTTTATTAGAAACATTTTTCTCAAATATCAAAAATGGCTGTTTCAAATGGGTTTTAATGATAAAAATGTGAAGAAAAAAATCACTATATAAGTAAAATAAATTTTTTTAAAAACTATAGAATTGGGTATCATTGAAACCGGGTTAAATTTCCAAATTCTAATCGATTTACAAAAATTTAAAAATATTGAAATTTGTTGACCGAGTTAGGTAAAAAAACACTTTTTATGAGAACTTAATGAAATTTATTTTCAATATTTTTTAATTCTGTAAATTGTTTTGAACTACGGTTTTCAATACCCATACTGATAAGATTTAAAAAAAAAATCATTTTCACTAGTACTACTGATTTTATTTCTCTCTGATTTAATCATTAAACTCCATTTAAAGAGCTTTTTTTGAATTTTATAAAAAAATACATGCCTTAGAATTCCTAGTGGAATACTATTTTGCTCGTGTAAAATAAATTCATTAAAATGTCTCATGCCCTATTGCAGATAACATAAAATTAAAATTAAAAAGAATATTTGATAAGGCTCGCGAATTTAAAATGAATAACTTCAAAAAAGTAGTTTACCTTTTGTAAATAGTTTTGTCTATTTCGTGTCAGAAGGAATTTCAACCGATCAGTCTGTCGTCTTTTATCCAAAAAACACATTTTTTTAAACCGATATTTAAGTATATTATTATTATTATTTAAAGTCAGAGAGCCTTCTCTTTCGAATTAATTTCTATTTTCATATTTAAAATATAATAGTTCACGTCAAACTAAAGTAACTTAAGATTAGAGATCCTAACATCAACTTCGCATAAATTTTACCATCTTCTTCTGTTTTTTGTTTGCAGTGGATTCCAGAGGCCGAATTTAAAGAACTTGAGCCGCGGCTTAAATTTGAGATGCGGCTCAAATATGGATGGCTTCACTTAAGAGTGCGCTCAATTAAAACCGGTTTTTAGCGGATTTGAACAGGGGCTCTTATTAATTTTTCCTTATCTAAAATTGTTTTAGTTAAATATGAAGAAATAGTTTTTATTATATTTTAATATTTTTTCACAAAACTTTTTTTTCTTTTTCCTCATCTAAAATGTTTTTAGTTTTGCTTTACATTTGTTGAAGATGGAATTATGGTGCACAGTATTAGAACTAAAAGAATCTAGTCAAGAAAGACAAAGTATTTTTTTTTTAAACATGAGGAGTCAGTATTAACATTAACCAATATTAATACTAAATATTTTATGAAGATGAAAGACAGGTTAGACCTAACAGAGGGAGACAAACAAAACGTTAATAAAGAAATTGAGTCTTTGTCACAAACTCTTATTTTTCTAACACTATATCAGGACAACCTGATGTCTCATGAATCATAAATTCTACAAAAATATCAAAGTTTAAAATATAAACGGTTTACAAGTTTAGAAAAATCAAAGGTTTTCACCATCTGGTTGCATAGATATAGGAATTAGAAAACTTAAGTTTGTGGTCAAGACTCATCGCCTCTTAGGCTTTCTAATAGTTTTTTGCATGAGTGTTTCGACCTTCGGTTTACTGTGAGGGGGCAATGGGGGGAGGGGGAGGAAGAGTTCGATCATTACAAATTGCACAACTTTCCTAAACCTTTTTGAAAAATAGTTTTAGTTGAAAGAAATAGAGTTTTTGCCACAAACTCAGATTTTCTAATTCCTATAACTTAGCAACCCGTTTTCCTAGACCTTTGATATTTCAAACTATTACTTCTGGTAGATCAAATAGTCTAAGTTTGAAATATCAAAGGTTTACAGCATTAGGTTGCAAAGATATAGGGGTTAGAAAATGTAAGTTTGTTGC